CACAATTTCTCCTGTTATCTGAGAAATTATTTCTGATTTCATTTTTTCCAGATCCTCTTTTGTTGCCAGTTCAGTGGTCCAGGTGGTTGAGTATGAGAGTGCTCCATCTCATTTCCCTTTGGGGTTGCTCTAGGTGATCTGGAAGCCTTGTTTTGAGACTTATTTATGTGTCTTCTCATTTCAACAGGGGGGTGGGGGGTGCTGTTGGCACCTGCACAGCTGACCTCCTCTGAACTGGGAGAGGTGGGCCAGGGGCTGGGAGCGGCGGGATGGATGGTGGCCCAGAAGCCCATTCCTCTGGGCCAGGAGCGGTGGCACAGCAGCTCCAAAGCCCCTTCCTCTGGGTCAGGAGTGATGGGACAGATCACTCCAATCTCTTCTTGCCTTGAGGGTTTGTGTTGAGAAGCCTGCTGTGATTCTGATGGGCTTCCCTCTGCATGTCATTTGTTTCTTTTCTCTAACTGCTTGTAGAATTTTGTTATTTTGGGTTTCTAGAATCTTAACAATTACATGCCTATGTGTTGATTTTTTTTTGATCAAGGCTAGTTGGAGTCCTATATGCCTCACTTGCCTATATGTCAAGTTCTTTCCCCTGCTTGGGAAGTTTTCTTCCATCACTTCTGTGAACAGTTTTTTTGCATCATCTGCACTCTCTCCTGTTTCTTCATTGACTCTGATCAGTGTTATGTTATTCTTCTTTGTGTCATCTAGCAGCTGCTGGATTGATTTCTCATGGTCCCTTACAATTTTAAACAAATTTTTCTTTTCCTGGTCACTAATTGCAATCTTATCTTCTTTATCTGAAATTCTGTCCTCACATTGGCTCATTCTGCTGTGTAGACTTTCAATTGAGTTTTTAATCTCCTGGAAATCTGTTTGTATCTGCTTTATGGATTCCATTTGTTTCCTATGTTGGGATTCCATCATGTTCCTCAGCTTCTCTATTTTTTAATCTGTGTCCTCTCTAAATTTATTAATCATGTCTTGCACTACGAGCACAATCTCTGCTGTTTTCTGAGAAATTATTTCTGATGTCATTTTTTCCAGATCCTCTTTTGTTGCCAGTCCAGGTGGTTGAGTATCAGAGTGTTCCATCTCGTTATCCTTTGTGGTTGCTGTAGGTGATCTGGAAGTCTGTTTTTGAGGCTTGTTTATGTGTCTTCTCATTTCTACCTGGAGAGGGGGTGGTTGCTGCTGGCACCTGCGTGGCTCACCTCCTTGGTTCTGGGAGCCATGCTAAGGTGGCCCGGAAGCCTCCTCCTCTGCACTGGGAGCAGTGCTCGCTTCACTGTTCCTTTCCTAGCTTCTTGACTTGAAGTTTTAAATCATTTATTTTCAATCATTTAAAAATAAACATTTTAAACATAATTTCACCCTTTAAGTATAACTTTGCTCTGTCCAATATGTATTCTGTTATTGTAATACTCTGTCATCCATTTTTAAATACATCTTCATTTCTACATTATTTTTATTAGAGCTAATTTGTTTCATATAGGTGATAAATTCCTCTTTGTATTTTTTTCCAAGATTTTTATGCAGCTTGATGATGGGTTATCTATTGCAGAACTTGAATGGAAGCTAGCAGAAGTTGGAGCAATACAGACTGATTTGGAAGAAAATCCTAAAACAAGCATTGAGGATATGATGGCATCTTCAATTAGAAACACTTCTATTTATGATAATGATAGTTCCAACAGTGATAATGATAACAAATAGAAATATTCAATAAATACCTTTAAAGTATATGCATACTGCATGTTTTACTATTGCTTTTATATTCAGAGATTAGGAAATTTATACATTTTCATTTCTATACTAGAATTATAATTTATATGTCCTCTTAAAGTTTTTCAGTTATTTCAGAATATTCATTGCCTCTGACAAAACCAGAATTTCTACTAATTCCTTAAATTCTGTGACTTATTTTCTGACCCATATTGGACAAAAATGCAAATATTATAAGTCCTCTGTATTGTCTTCTCACTTCCTAAGAGACTTATGAAAGAAAATAATGAAAGAGAACCAAGAAATTTTATTTAAGTAACATGTTTTTAATTCTACTATTTGGGGACCTCAAGTAAAAATTCTTATTTACCATTTGATTTTTCTTTGAAGTATCTTACCTATTAAAAAATTAACAACTTAATGACATAATACATTTTAAAGACTCTGAAAAGTACATAAGAAATATCCCTGTCTATTATTGCTTTGAATAGTTCTGTTAAGGTAGAAAATTACTAAGTCTTGTCATTAGTAAACTGTAGAATTATTAGAAGAGTATGACATGTAAGTTTCCAAATCCTGAGGAGAGGTGAGAAAAATACATTGTGGGACTTTTTTTTTGGTACTGGGGATTGATCTCAGGTCCTTGCGTTTGCAGGGCAGGCGGCGGCACCACTGAGCTAAATCCCCAGCTAACCTATGTTTTAAGAATTTATCATGAGAAAACAGAATTTTAGGACACTGTAGAAGACTTAAAGGATATCTCCTGTTGGCCTAATAATGAGCATCATTTATAGAGGAAAGGATGGTAAATCCATCACATAACAGTTCAGCAATATATTTTATTCTATTTGGTTTGTATTGGTGACCCATAATTCTGAATATGGATGTTCACTGATGCTTCTGAGAGAATCTAGACTAAGTTTAAATGCTTAGATTACAAAAATAAATTGGTGAGAAAGAAGACTTAGTTTTACATGGGGTCAACAAAAGGCTTTTTGTTACTACCAGTAGGGTAAGGAATCTTACATTCTGCAGAGAATCATGAAGTGGAAGGAGATTTGAGTAATACTTTATTTTACCAGATAAAGTAAAATCATGTCAGAGGTATAGTTACCCAGTTACATTGATTCATCTCCTAAACTACTTAAGAAATAGGTGGATAAATTCCTATCCAGGAATTATAGTTGTCAAATAAATGGTAGAGCCATATTATCATGAATTTACAATATATCTCTAATGCACATAAACATGAACGTTATTTTCCCCTCAAAACCAAACAAAAAATATTTCCCTAAGTGTAACCTTTTTCTTTTCTTTTCTTTTTGGTAAATATGTATTTACTAACCTTTTTAAAGTTAAAATTAACAAGTTAGTTGAGATAGAACATACATATTTCCCTCTGAACTCAGATCTACTAAGTGGCAGTTAAGTTTTTATCCACAAACACAGTTCTGAACACTTTCACATTTGGACAACAGAGACGACCATAAATAAACTCCTGGGCCCTCAACCTATTTTTTCATTGAAAGCATGATTTGTATTTTCTTTTGAGGCAGTCAGGGATATAAAAGAGGTTTTTGTTAAAAACAGTAACTCTTCACTTTGGGTACAGAGGCCCAGTAGGTAATTAAATGCAGAACAAAGCTTGACCTTCATTTCATAAAACTCTAGATCAAGTCCTTTTCAGCTCTGCATATAGAATGTTAGTCATTTAAGAAATTTGTCTGAAAGTTGGAAAAACAAAGCTTTTAATCTCTAAATTTACCTAGCCTACCTCATTACATTTTATTTTTTGTATTAAATTCTTCTATTGGTACATTGTAGGTATACAACACAATTACATTTCTCATTGGGAATTGTACCTTTACATAATGCAT